GTTGATGGCGCCCAGGATCAGCTTGAAGATGGCGGGATCTTTCTTGGCCAGCGCCTGGTAGGGTGAGAGCTGGTTCGTGCTGTCGCGCAGCCACTCGGCAATGATGTCGCCCGTAATGATGAAGGACTGCGGCCCCTCCCATTTGCCCTCGTCGCGCAGGCTGCGGCCCTTGAGATCGACGAACCTGGTATCAGTCCCATCGGTATGGAACTTGACAGTGGTGTCTGTCGTGGAAGGGAACGCGTTCTCGAATAGTCTGGCCAGGTCGGGGTCCTTCATTCTGGATGTGACATCCTTGATGACCTGCTCAATGGCATCGGAGTGGAAAGTACGGCATCGTGGATCGGGTCGTTGGTAGGGCAGGCCAAGGGGGCCTTCGCTCAGGGGTTTACTGGCGACACACACACATTCTCAGCATTGATTCGTGGTCTCAAGAGGAACGGCCAAGGCCAGAGTCGCAAACTCACTGGGGGTATGTGGAATACTGTGCATAGTTGGGACATGCTTCGCGATCCTCGCCAGTCAGAGGTTCTTGCGCCGCGTAGGTCTGGCCGACCAGCAGACCCAGGGGTAGCAGCAGGTCAAATACTGTGCGTAAGGACATGGCTGCGAGAGCAATGTTGCCTGGCAGGAAAAGGCACGGGAGGGAAAAGAGAACAAAATTTGAGTCTATGTCCGCATGGGTATCAATCGCTGAGGAAACCCTTCGCAGTGCAGAGAGATCGTGGCAGGGTCCAGCAACAGAAACAAAAAAGCGATCGTGTTACGAAGCAATGTGCGACGTTGGGTTGACGCGGAAAATAGGACGACGAGCTCCCTGCCAGCCAGGTGTCCGCTGCGTCTTTTGGGGGATGCCGCAGCGTCACTGTGGTCCCTTGCAGGAGCTCTGACCGGGGTTGCGTATTTTAGCGTCGCATCTTGACGACTCAGGCCCACTGCGGGGTGACGCGGGGCGACCTCCGGCGTCCGTGCCGCTCCCGGGCCGGCGCTGTTTCTCCTAGTCACGCCAGTGCTATTTCAACCTCTGTGATCTAGAGGCAGTAATTGCCCGCAGTTACAGCCAATAGGAGATCCATTGGTAACAAAATCGTTGGACAAATCGCGGATATCTGCATGTGACAGCTTGCTTTACTGTGGAACTCTAGAGCTTATCTTGTAGACAACGTTTCTCTCCTTTTTCTTTCATGCCAAGTCTCCATCAAGCCTCTTGACATGGGCCCCCAAAATCTTTCCCCGGCATTCATTTCTTGCCAAAGAAGGACATGATGTTGCCCTGTCCCTTTGGAGCAGGCTTCTTCGGCTTCGCAGCTTGGCTTCCAGAACTTGGCGCAGATGAAGTCTTGGCCACCTTTGCGGGCGGCGGGGGTGCCTCGTCTTCTGAGAACTCTTCCCAAGCAGGTTCCTGGATAGTGACTAGTAGACTGTTGTTAGCTTTGAGAAACTTAAGGGAGTATTGCCAAACTTACCAAGGTAGCCCTGATCGTCCATGATCTGCTTCTTCTTCATGACTCTCCGCTTGCCACGCCGACGACCGTCGCCTGTGCTAGAAACGACTTCCGCTGGTTCAGGTTTCGCTTCTGGCTCGGGAGCCTCCTCCAATGGCTCATCCATCGGCTCGTCCTCCTCCTTCTCTTCGGGATCTTCCTCTTCCTCGCTCTCTTCCATCATCATTTTCAGCTCAGCCTCGCGGTCCTTTCGTGACTTTCTTCCAGAATTGGCAGGGGCTTTTGCGGCGGGAATGTCTTCATCGTCATCCTCGCCATCATCAGATAGTGCGGGCGTCTCGACGGGTGCCGGTTTCGGGACCTCTTTCGGCTTGCTTGCAGCCTTGGCTGCGGCTTTGGCAAACATGCCCGAAATGCCAGACGAGCCACTCTTCTTCAACGCTGGTGGCGCCGCTCCCTTCTTCGTTGCCGCCGTGGACGTGGGTGTCTCTGTGGTTTGCGTCTTGGTCTCTTGCTTGACAGGTACCTCTGCCTTGGAGTCAAGGGCTGCGGGCTTGACGGTGGGAGGTGCTGCCTCCTTCTTGATAGGCTTGACCGCCGGTGCTGGAGCAGCAGGTGTAGATACTGGTCCTCTTCCTTGGCGGGTGCGTTTGCGGACATTGGGGTTGGTGATGGTACCGTATGTCTCTGCCATGGATGCACTCTCATTCGTCGACTGCTCCTTGATTTGCTGATGAACGTCTGCTAAAAGTTGCAAGTCCTGGGGCACTGGTCAATGGTTGTCACTAGACGGAGGAAAATAAAGGCTTACCCTGGTGGGATGCCTCGCCAAACTGTAGATATGGAATGAGGTCACCTCTTCGTAAGTGGCCAGAGTGTCTAAGAAAGATCAGTAATGTGAAAAAACAGTGGAAATAAGAAACTTCTAATTACCCTTCAGGAGGTCGCCAGGGACAAGAGACATGGAGTGGGTGACAACATCTTCAGAAGTTTCGACATCAGGGGGCGAGCTGGCCATTTCAACATCGCCATCATCTTGGACCTTTCGTTGTGCTGGTTGGGTTCCATAGATCAGGTAGGTTGCATGTATTGTGCCAGGGCGCATCCCATTCTGTGACCGGTGGAAGTCATAGAGCATTCTATCAAAAGGTCAGCAGCTGTTGCACTAGTCAGTGGAACGAAGCTCCTTGAACCGACCCTTTTGCTGTGTTAACATGAACCTTGAGTGCCCTGCTGAGGCTTCGATATGTGACCTGGGATATTTGTGAGCACCAGTTTGACGGCCATCATGGGAATGTCGTAGCTTACAATTTTCTCCTCACTCAGGATCTGGTCAGCCAGATACTTTTTGTATTCCTCCATGGTGAAGGTGTCTGATTGTTCTCCCGACTCCCGATAAGACTTGAAGTGGCCCAATGTGAAGTAATTGAAGCTCGTCAAAGAACAAGGCGACACCTTTTGCAGGGAGTTGTCACGATGATTCCCTGTGAAGAAGGTACAAGGTGGTGAGGGAGCTACCTGCTCTGAGAAGACGCGTCGGGCCAAAGACAAAGACGCGACCCCACTATTTCTTCTTAATTGATTTTCTGCGCACACCCCCCTGCTGGGGCCATTCAGGAGAGTGCGATTGGTGACGTTATCCACTAATTCTACACCTCCCAGTCTTCAAATCCCTGACACTTTCCCAATGAGCGCGCCACTCGACGCGACTTTCCCATCCTCTCCAAAAGTTCTCTGAAGCCTTTGCCTCTAGACATCCTTGTTACTATTGCTCGAGGTCTTTACTCAAATCGCCAGCTCAGACACCCAAAGTCTTTTCCAAGCGACTTGTGCCTCGAGAGTACCGATCGCCGACGAATTTACATATACTTACTCACACTTGACTTCTGTCACGAATCCCCCAGTCCAGTCGCCCATAATGGCAGACAACTTCGAAGACGTCCCAGACTCAACAGATTGGCTCTCTACACCCCTCCCCGCTCTTTCAGCAGTCGAAGCCTCCTTACGATGCCAGGTCTGCAAGGACTTCTTCAAGACACCAATGGTCACATCATGCTGCCATACCTTTTGCTCCCTCTGCATCCGTCGCGCCTTGTCCAACGACGGCAAGTGCCCTCTCTGTCGGGCTTCGGACCAAGAGTTGAAGCTGAGGAGTAATTGGTCTCTCGAGGAGGTTGTCGACTCGTTTGTCAAGGCCAGGAAGGATACGCTACACTTTGCTAGGACGGCGGGCCAGAACGACCAGCGAGAACCCAGCGGCAGTGTGGCCAAGAGGAGGATGGCTGAGGAAAGCGGCGACCAGCAGCCAGAGACCAAGCGCCTTAGGAGTTCGGCGAGGCTCAGCAGGACTAGATCTGGACAGGCAGCCGCCGCGCCCGTACATGAGGTCGATGAGGTTGACGAGATGGAGGAAGTACAGGAGGACAACGAGTCGGAGGACGCAGATTTCGGTAAGCCAATGCCCTTCTTTACCAAGCGCTTCACTTCACCACCCTTCTAACACATATCGGTCCCAGCTCCCGAGGATGGTCTGGTCCCATGCCCCATATGTAGCACCCGCATGAAGGAAGCCCAAGTCTTCCGTCACCTCGACACCTGCGACGGCTCAAAACCACCCCCACAACAACATACAGCCCAAGCCCGCACAAGCGCAAGCCGTACCCCGACACCAAACACACCCGCCCGCGGCGCCGGCCCCAGCAGATCGCATCCGGCCCCCGAACGCCTCCCCGCCCTCGCCTACTCCATGCTCAAAGACGTCGCCCTGCGCAAAAAGATGTCCGATCTCGGCCTCTCCGTCACAGGCGGGCGCGTCCAACTAGAAAAGAGACATAAAGAATGGGTGACGCTGTGGAACGCAAACTGCGACTCGGCGCGACCGAAGCGGAGGACGGAGCTGCTGCATGACCTCGACGTGTGGGAGCGCACGCAGGGTTCCAAGGCAGCCATGTTTGTGAAGCCGGGCGCCGCGGTCAAGGACAAAGAATTTGATGGCGTTGCCTGGGCGGCAAAGCATGATACCTCGTTCAAGGACCTAATCGCAAATGCGCGCAAGTCCAGAGCGCAGGCCAAGCCGAAGAGCGAGGAAGAAGAGGAAAAGGAGACAGCTACCTCAAAGTCAGAAGATGGCAGAGCTGCCTCAGCAGAGACTGGTGCTCCCAAGCTGGATTCAAAGGGGAGTGACGCGGCGGTGATTGATCTGACAGAGCAACCAAGAGATACCTCCAGAGAAGGCGGCGTAGACGAAGCTCCCCCGGGATCCATGATGCAGGTCGACAATCCGGCACTCAAACCGCAGGTCCCAGCATCGACGTATTACCTACAGGACGGCTTTTCAGAGCCTCAGATACCCAGCGGTCAGGAGGCACGGTGACATTCAGCGTGGTAATTGCATGACATAGCGCTTTCTTCGTTACTATACCCTGCCGACTGTAAGATACACAGACTTTGCTTCTATACAAAACCCAGCAAAGAAACGCCGTGATCTGAACCCTATGGTTCATGAATACAAATGCGTGATGAGACCCCGACGTGATATGATGCCAGCCATCCCTTTCACTGCGCAGGCATCGGCTTCTCCCGCTCTCTCTCCCTCTCCTCGAGCCCCATCCTCTCCAAACTCTCCGCCGTCTCCCCCGTCGGCGACTTGGCGTCCTGCCTCGCAACAGGCTCCGCAACAGGCGTCTTCAAATCCGCCATCTCGGCCTCGAGCCTCCTCCTCGTCTCCTCAGCCTCCCTCTCCTCCGTCGCCTCCCTCTCCTTCCGCTCCGCCGCCTCAACCTTCTCCCTCTCCTCGCGCTCCATAGCCTCAAGCTCCTCATCAACCTCGAACTCATCTACCACAGGCGCAGCACCAGCCTCGGAGATAATCTTGCCCACCTCGTCCACCTCGCCCATCTGCTCCCGCAACCGGTCCACCACGTCCTCGACCCGGTCCGCGCCGCCGACCTTCTCGTTGAGCCCCTTGAGCGCGCCCGCGCTCGCCTCCATGACGCTGACGAGCTGGACGTTGTCCCGCGCCTCTTGTATCCTCGCCGCCACGTCCTCGAGCTGGTTCAGCGTCGCGAAGCGCTTCTCGAGCGACGCTTCGGTCATTTTTTTCGACTTGAGCGCCGCCAGCGCGGCAACCTTGTTCTTTTTGACGACGGCTTCCTTTGCTGTTGCCGCGAGCTCGTCCACGCGGGATGTGAGGAGGGCCGTCTGATGCTTCATGTCGGCGATGAGTTCCTTGAGCGACGAGACGGCCGCGTCTTCCTCCGTTATCGTCGTCTCATCCTCGTCCGTGCTCGATCCCTTTATCCTGACAACCTTCCCGTCGTAGACCACGATCCCCTTGTCCCGTGAGAGGAAGACCAGCAAAATATCCACATCCGTCTCGGATAACCTCCGATCCTGCACCAGCGCATCCGCAAATGTCTTTTGGAAATGCGTCTTCGTATACGTCCTGTCGAACCTTGAATCCGCAGAGGTAACCCTCTCCGCAAGGCTCTTCGCCGTCGCCTCGACATTCCTCAATACCACAAACCGCCCCTGCGGAACCCTATCCTCGCCCGAGGTAGACTTGCCTGCAAACAACTGTCCCGCCGCCCACGAGATCACGCTCCACGGCACCTGCGCCCACGTCTTACCCGCATAGATGCTCTCCTTGGCCTTTGTGAACTCGTCGAGCGGGTACAGGTCCTTGTCGGCGACGGCCTCCCTGACGACGGTGCCGAGCGCGAGCGGACGGCCAAACTGTTTATTCTCGAGGGACCGCACGAGCTGCTCGTCGACGTTGACTACTAACAGGTTCGGCGCCGAGAGCTGCGAGGCGATGCGGCCTTCCCACGCTGCGCGAGCGAGGGCTTGGCGCCAGGCGCTGACGTTGGCTTGGAAGCCATCTGGGTTCAGGGTTCGTTGGGGGCGGAAGTCGGAGTAGAGAGCTGGCAAACGGGCCCTGCGCAGGCAAAGGCATTAGTATACGGCTGGACTCGGAGCTTGGGGGATGATATGAGTGAGTGAGTGAGAGAAACACGAACTTGCGAAAGTTTTGGTCTCTTTCGACGAGAAAGTCGGCGAGCTCTCCCATATTGGCCGAGTGACGTCGGGGTCTGTCGAGAGACCTCGCAATAGGTTCTGTCGAATGTCGAATGTAGCTGCGTTTCGACCTCGGGTCGGCTGGAGGGGGGATCTCCTCAAAAGGTCCCAGTGACGAGGGGGAGAAAGTAAACTTGGAACGGGCAAAAGAAAAGGCAATCAGGAATAGGTTCAAAATAGGACTGTCGTGCTCCGCAAGGCCTAGAAACTCCCCATCGAGCTCAAACGAAGTAGGAGAGAAGCAGTTGGTTTAGCGGGACAGTGGGGGAAGCTGCCTTATCGGCGTGGGTTCAGCAGTCTTTCTCCTATCGGTTGCCGGTGAGATCATTGCTGGGTCCAAGGGTCCCCAGTGACAAGTGTGTCCAGGTGCCTGACCTCGAGCAGGGGATTAGCGCAGGTACGTACTGACCACTACCTTGGCGTAGAAGATGCCACCAAACGACATTTACACAAAACTGGGCACCAGGTCTAATTATAAGTAAGGCAGTTAGTGTAAAGAGGGAGGAACGATGGCTTCAAGACGGATACCTTGGATTAAATGAGAATTTGGGGTATCAAACGAAGAAGGAGCAGGCATGGCTTCTGGCTGCATGCCTTACTTTGTCTGCCTTCTACTATAATTCGTCCTGACCAAAGAAATGAACAATCACAGTGCAAGGACAACAATACTGAAAAGAGGCAGCGACAGTGGTTGTAAATGCTATTAATCCGCTTCGTAAACGCATCTACTAATCACTTCATTCGCCCATCGCTGCACCTCCGCCACTCCAACCGATCCAAGTCGTGTTAGCCAAACTCGTCTTGCACCGATCCGTCACCCTTCTCTTTGACGGGTGACACAACCTCATGCAACGGCGCAGTCTCAAGGCTTGCGACAGGTGCTCCTCCACGACCCATCATGCTAGTTCTTCTTGACCTGAAATCCATAGTCTCACTCTCTTCAACGAGGACTTCCTCCACGTCTTGTGATGGGGACTCGTCGCCTCCATTTCCATCGTCCACGTCGAGCTTCTCATCGAGCTGATGCTGTAGGCCAGCCACGAATTCGTTGGCAAGGCTGAATTTGGAAACGCCATTTTCGTGCGGAAGCTCCGAGTAGATCCTCGAGGCTTCGTTGAGACACCGCTGGGACTGTATGTACTTCTGTTGCAGGTCCCATGCCTCGCCGCCGAGGATACACCACATGGCCGACTTTCTCTTCCGGTGGCCCCACGAGCCTGAGCCGACGCCCGGTTTTGAGGCGTAGCAGACGGCGAGTCGCTCCTTCATGAGAGCATCGCCGACGGGGCCGAGGATCTTGGAGTCGAGGAGGCGGATGCCCCATCTCACAGCGTCGTCGACGCTACTGCCGCCCCTAAGCCGCAGAAGCTCGATTCCGAGCGTCAATGATCTCAGTGCTCCAAAAGGAGAGCTGCAACGTGTGTAGTAAGAGTAGAAGGCGGCTTCCAACATCTGGTCGATCGTTTCGGCGCGGGATTTGGAAGGCAGATTTTGCGGCATGATAAGGAGACTGGCGGCGGCCATCTCGTTGGCTGCCGCGTGGTACTTCCAGGCCTTTGCGTCGCTAAAGTCGGACCTTAGGAGATCATATGTTGAGTGCGCTAGTTTCCAGTCCCGGAGCATGAAGGCGAAGTCGGCTAGCTTTCGCATGATGGCTTCTGAAGCATCTGGTCGGTAGAATCCGAGCGCGTCATAAGCGCTTGATGACCCGCTACCTCCCACGACGGAATTCCTTGAGCTACTGCCGAAGCCTCCCCATTTCCGCGACAGATTCATGAACCTTCCCGTAATTCCTCTTCTACGAGATGCGACTTGATCGTTCCACAGCGACACATGGCGCTCCATGGTAGGTATGATAGACTGCGTAACCATCTCTCTCACAAAGGTGCGAATCGCCGTGGCATCCGACTCGAAGATGTATCTTGTCGGGTCCTCAAAGTCTTCTCGTTCCTCGCTGTTTCGGATGTCCTTCAGTTCTTCGGCTGCCGACATCCAATCGCTCCGCGGCAGAGGTATGCTATCGTCATCGGTCTCTGCGCTCTGCGTGCTTCTCAACCGCAGCAAATGGCAGTGTAGGCCGAGATGACGCTTCATTTGGTCGAATAAGGCCAGTGAACGGGTGACGTCGTCGCGCTCTTCATCGTGTACCAACACGTAGTATCGAAGATAGTCTCCGTCTACCCACACTGGCAGTCTGTTCTCCCCAGTGCTCGTGTCATTGTAAAGTTTGCGCAGATCTTCTATCGGTGATGGACTCCGCGAGCTGATGGCAATCACGCAGGCCACTGGATGCGCAAAGGTCTCGTGAGGTGACACGGGTATGCCCGATAAGAGTCTCCGCAGGTATAATGAGTAGTATGGGGAAGTAGCCTCCACGTCCAGGCCCTGTCTCGTCAATCCGTGGTGCGGGGTGTTGAGGAATGACTCTTCAGCGTAAGACAGATGGCTGTCCACCACCGCTTCAACGTCGTCGTAGTGGCTCTTCGATTTTGAGATAGATCCGGCTTGTCCGTTGGTCGCCGCAGATTGCGTGCCTTGCGAAGCGTTCGAACCAGGGTGCTCGATATTGTCTCCAAACTTGGTGAACCGAACCGAGTAGTCCTCCCATGATTTACTCGCACCGTTGCTGTCTCTGATGGTGACCTTGCCCTGCACCTGTTCTCCGAAAGGGCGCAGCAGCTCCCACAATCCGTTCTTGAAACCCTTGTCGGTCGCGAGCTCCTCGGTATCTGGCGAGGCGTAAATCGCAACATGGGGGACATAGGCTTTCATGATCAAGTTACGCGGATCGCCGGGGCTGTCGGAAGCATTCTCGATGAGTGAGCGAGCTGCTGGTCCACCAAAGACAGAGCCGGACATTGTGCTTCGGGCCGGGGAGCCTCGTCCCATAGGAGACCCTGAGCGTGATCCGGGAGGCGTCAAAGTGGAAGCGAAGAGCGGCGCGACAGAGGGGTTGGATCTTCGGTATGGTAACGTGACCTCGGATTGTGCCAGCGGATGGCCTTCGGGAACAGACTGCCTCTTGGGCGGTCTTCCAGTCGAGGCGGCCATGGGCATGGCGGGGAGCGACTCGATTGGCGAGGCCTCATTGTCCGGGGACTGCATGACCAAGGCTGCGTGAGGCGTATCAGTCGGGAATGACCGATACCCTGTGCCTTGATCTTGTCAGATGAGTAGAAGCCAGTGGCTTATATATCGGACGTTCGGTGATGTTGGAGCATTCGTAACTCCGCCGGATGGCTTTGGGCGTCGTAATTAGTAGGGGGCTCGGCGGTGGATCGCAAAAATGAACGAATGTTTGGCGCAGTCTAAAACTTTTGAGAAGGGGTCAGCAAACATGGAAAGTGTGAAGCAGGAGAGAAAAAGATGGCGTACAAAGACTGGCTCCGCGACGATGCCACAGTTGTACTGTACGCTGCAGCTGGCCTAATTACAAGCCAGAAGCCGTCATTGTCAGGTTCGCGCGAGAGAGAGACCACTCAACCCTCCGATAAGTAACTAGCGCCCCGGTCACATGCACGTCCATTCGTGGAAGGGACGAGTGAGAGTGGGGGGACCCTTGTCGGTCCGCGGCCCCTGCTTTTCTGGCTCTGGTCCATCAAGGTCCGTGCATCTTTTCGATGTGCAACGACGTCGATACCTCAGTCTTAGCTTACCTGTGATATCTTGAAGTATCATAGCTCTTCTCATTACCACCAAAACCACCCAAAACGAACCCCATTTCCAACCTTCTCGTGGCTGCACAGGCCATATCCGACAATGCCATCCGACCTCTCATCATATCTTGCAAAGAACTACTTAGTAGCAGATCCGAAACCCACCAAGAAGCGCAAGCGCAAACAACCCACCGAGACCCAAGGCCTCATCATCGCAGACGACGACGATAACGGATGGGGCAACTCCACCGCACAAGACGACGACGCAGAATCAGGACCGGCTCTCGTATCAGGGACCTCAGCAGAGTTTAGGAAGACGAAGAAATCAAATTGGAAGACGGTCGCTGCATCCTCGAAATCACAAGGCGGCGCCGGCGCGGGCAACAATGAAGACGACGACAGCGCCGCAGCAGCAAACGCGATCCTCGCCTCAGCAGCAGCAGAAAATGCGGCAGCACGAAACGCAGACGACGAGATGCCCGTCATAGAAGGAGGAGGCGACGACGACGACGCCGCCGCCAACGTCGTCAAAATGAGCGACGGCACACACGCAGGCCTGCAATCCGCCGCCGCCGTCTCAGCACAGCTCCGCCGCCGCCAGCAAGCCGAAGAAGCCGAGTTCGCGAAACTCCGAAAACACGGCAAGGAAGAGGAGACGGTCTACCGCGACGCCACGGGCCGGCGCGTCGACGTCTCCATGAAGCGCGCGGAGGCGCGCAAACTCGCGCTCGAGGCCGAGGAGAAAGAACGGCAGGCAAGGTTGGCGCCCAAGGGCGACGTGCAGCTCGAGAACGCGCGGAAGCGCAGGGAGGCGCTCGAGGACGCCAAGCTCATGACGTTTGCGCGGACGGCGGACGACGAGGAGATGAATAACGAGCTCAAGGAGCAGGAGCGGTGGAATGATCCTATGGCGCAGTTCTTAAGCGACAAGACGGGCGGCGGTGGTGGTGCAGGGGCAAAGGGTAAAAAGGGGAAGAGGCGGCCGGTGTATGCTGGCGCTGCGCCGCCGAACCGGTATGGCATCAAGCCGGGGTATAGGTGGGATGGCGTCGACAGGAGTAACGGGTTTGAAGGGGAGCGGTTCAGGGCGATTAATCGCAGGGAGCGGAATAAGGGGCTCGACTACGCCTGGCAGATGGACGAATGATCGCGCTAGGATGTCGACATTTGGTTCGGTTAAGACACCGGAATGCGATGGATTCAAGCATTGGATATCCCATGATATTTGCGTTCCAGTCACAATCAAAGTGATGGTTCAAATATGAGCCGACATCATTTTGAACTTCGAAATAAAAATGACATAATTTCGTCCGGTGAGCAAGAACTTAACTTCATA